GGACCACTCAGAAATTACATGGAAAGTCATTTCCCTGAAAGCACCCCAAAATCTCTTTGCATGTGTCACCTGAAACACAAAGGGCCAAGCTGGAAGCCTCCTCCCCAAGAGTCATTATACCCGCTTGTATATGAAGATTTTGATGGGAAGGTTAAACCACAAGCTCCACTCAATAAGAGCAGGAAACATGACAGCTCAGAAGATTAACCTAGAGTCCATCTTCACATTATTAAAAGAGAAATCGGGAATGCGAGAATTGAGCTGCTCAGTATCCTAATAATAGGACAGCTACTACAAAGAGCCTTGCTACCATCTTCTAGATCGGTAGTTTTCAAAATATGCACCTTCAGGGCACCTCTTTTGTGGAGGTGTAATTGAGTGGTGGTTCAAGTGGTTAAGACGCTGAACTGCAGGCTGTGGAAGGTCAGTAGTTCAGCAGTTCGAGACCCGAGTGTGCCGCATGACGGAGTGAGCTCCCATCTCTAGTTCCAGCTCCTGCCAACCTAGCAGTTCGAAAGCAAGAAATTGCAAGTAGATAAATAGGTACCACTTTGGTGGGAAGGTAACAGCGTTCCGTGCGCCTTGGAGTTTAGCCATGCCGGCCACATGACCACGGAAATGTCTTCGGATAGCGCTGGCTCTTCGGCTTTGAAACGGAGATGAGCACCGCAACCCTAGAGTCGGATTCAACTGGCTTTCGAGCAAGGGGACCTTTTACTTTAATTTCAATTTCCTGCTGCATGCTGTAGAGGACTCTGGGGCAGTGGTTCTTAACCTCTTTATTATGGTGACTGACCAGTCCAAATTTTCGTGGTATGGCAACCAGTGTTCCATCTAAGCTGAGTTAGTGTGAGCTAGCTCACAGTTTTTTAGCCTCCGGCTCACACATTTTTGTCTTGGCTCATGAAGGAGGGCTCGAGCCCACTAATTTATGGAGCAGCCAAATCGCTCACTCACAATTTTAATGCCAGTAGCTCACAAAGTAGAATTTTTGCTCACAAGACTCCATAGCTTAGAGGGAACATTACAACCCATCCAGAGCTGACCCATTTTCTTCTTATCTTTCTGTTCTTGACTCAAAGGTCTTGGACAGACTGAGACCCAAACCTCTAACAGGCAATCACTGCAGCTAAATATTTAGCAGCTGCTAAGGTAGTTTTCCAATCCTCATCTACAAGAGAAAACTGGACAATTTTTTGAGATGATAAATTCACACAACCTGTTAAGAGGGCTGACCCAAGGTTTTCTGGTACCCCAGGCCAGTGTTTCCCAGCCTGTGGCTCACACCTCTTTCTCTCCTCCTCTTTCTTTTCCATACACTGATCAGCTCTTACCAGCTCTCCAGCCTTCCCCCCCCTTCTTCCAGCTGCTCCTCTAAAGCTACTAGTTGCCGGACAGACTCCCCCCTCAGAGAGGCGGAAGGTAAGAATATGGGAACCTGACAAGGAGGACAAGAAGATAAAGAATGATACAAAGGGCAGGAGCAGCCATTAGGGAGGGGTGGCCTGAGACCCACATTCAGAGGCTTTGGGTCCCACTTTTGGGTTCTGACCAAGAGTTTGGGAACCACTGCTCCAAGAGACACCCTAATTCAGAGGTGTCGAACTCATTTGTTATGAGGGCCAGATCTGCCATAAATGTCACTTTATTGGGCAGGGCCATGTGTGCCATAAAACATAATGCTAGGTACCGGAGATATAAACTGCATAAAGGACAGCAACTGGTAAGCTCAAAGTTGTTGTATTCTCCACTGCCAGGCCCCATGGGCTGGGAGGGGGGTGCAAAGGAAAACCCACATGGGCGGACTGGAGAGCCAGTGGTGCAGCACTGGGCAGACACTCCCATGTTGCTTGACTGCTGCAGATGAGGTTGTTGGCCATGCTGAAGCCACAATCAGAGTGGCTCTGTCCCCCTCCCCCCCCCAGCAGTCTCCTGTTCCCTCCTTGCACTAGTTGCTCATGGGCCACATAAGAGCTCTGGATGGGCTGCTTCCAGCCCTCGGGCCTTACGTTTGACACCCCTGCCCTAGTTCATGAAAGATACCTGCCAGCTCTGTAGTGCCTCACTGTTATTACCCCATGTGAAATTATCACTACCCTTTTAGTGAAAATAACAAGGTCTGCTCACATCCAAGGGCTGAAAGTGCTATGGAGCAAACTGAGAGTCAGAAGCACCATTAAGAGCCCCTAAAAAAGTTCAAGGACAACTCCAGAGATGTTACCACCACACTGCTGAAGCAGAAGATGAAGAACCCAGACCGCACCAGTGCATTTGGTAGAAGGAACAGTGTGTGTGTGAAATACGGAGGTCCATTATCTCAGAATGAGTATGATTCATTTGTAGGTCAGCAGAAAGCATGTGTCCTGCACCACCTCCACTCCGCAGCATGTAGACGGGGTGAGGAAAGAATGTCATGATGCATCCAAAGATCTGAACCAGAAGGGCACAAAATGGTCTCTTCGCCCCTGCAGGAAGGCAGCTAGTTCACAGTAAGAATGTGCTCTGGGCTCTTCCCAGCTAGCTGTCTCAGTCTTTTCCTTGTACCTTCATGAACATTATACTTCCAAAACAATCTCTGTTTTTGCCTGAAACTGATACTGTTTTGTTAGACTCTTCTTCATCTCCAGTGCAGCGAGTACTTTCGTCCTGCAAGCCGGGCTGGAATGGACCAAGGTTCATCTAGTTCAGCATTCTTTCCAACAGGGTCCACCCAGATACCCCCCGGGGGGCTCACAATTTGGAGACAACAGCCATGACCACAACCTTGTCTGCACCCAGAATGTGGTAGTCAGATACAATGCCTCTGCACATGAAGGTTTGTAATAACCTTAGTTGGGGGATAGCCACTGAGAGACCTGTCCTCCAATCAGGTTATTTATATGCAGGGAAAAACCCAAGCTAAAACAAACCATACATAAAAACAACACAGCTCACATCAATGTGCAATCCTCAGACATCTGTATAACAAAGTCCTTGAGGCCTTCCTCCTAGCCTTCGCTTACCCAGCCTTCCTTTTGCCTTTTCTGCTTGACCTCTTAATTCTGTTTCCTTTTCCCGTTCTTACCTGTATGCCAAGAAGGGTCTCACCTTTTATAGCCCAACTATACTCTCCATCCTGCTTCACACAGTCAAACCATACTATG